ACACACACACACACACACACACACACACACACACACACACACACACACACACACACACACACACAATACAACTTGTGTCATGCTAGCATGCTAACATAGCATCAGCTGCACTTAGCGCGTGCGTATACGACCAGCAACGCGATTGCGTCACATAGGCAGCCTCAAAGCCGCTGGGACGCTGTAGTTGACACCTGTCAATCATCCAGCATGTCAGAACACATGACCAAGGAATTGGCAAACTTGAACGTTGCAATGCAAACAACCGGCGAGTTAGTAGTGAGCCCTCTTCACTGGATGCACTGTTCTGGTGGGATAATTTGGGTTAGAATGTTGTCATGTGAGGTAACGGGAACTTGGCACCGAGGTTATTGTAGTTTGTGGGATAAGAATATGAAAAACCTTTATGCAAGGAAGAAAGTAGAAACGAACAAAGAAAGAACATTAAAATGAAAACCATGTTCATGAATATTCAGCATGTGACAAACCCTTAAATGAGCCAGTTTCACCACGGCGAGAAATACACTCAAAATATGTACCCTCGGGCTTTGGGGTATTTTGATGATGTCACGAGACGGTTTGATAAAGTCACCGAGTGAAAAAATGCTGACTGTGATGCCTTTCACTGATATTGAACATTTTTCTTCTTGTGCCTAAAATCATTTTGCAACGATGTGGTTTGTCGCGGTGCGCAGGTTCATGGCCACAAATGACCTGATGACAGAACTGCAGAAAGATTCCATCAAACTAGACGACGACAGCGAGAGGAAGGTGGGTTCACTCCAGCGCCATTTGGCATGGCTATCGTTTCCATTGTGGTCGGTCGGGATAAGTCTTGTTGTGGTGGCGCTGTGATCGACAGGTGGTGAGGATGATTCTGAAGCTGCTCGAGGACAAGAATGGAGAAGTTCAGAACTTGGCCGTCAAATGGTAACATCGGAGATGCTTTGGGAATGCTGAAGAGGAAATAACATGTTTGTTTGTTTGGTTTTTTTTTTTTTTTTTTGAATTTTTCCGCACACTTTCTTGTACTTTGACTCGTCTCAACTGATCGCAACCCATCTCAACTTCCAAAATTCAAACTCTGAGCTATTCTCATGCCAAATTTTGGAAAGTCGGGCTTGGATTCTGCACGTCTCATAATAGACATTTTCAACGTCCGTTTCTTGAACAATTTAAAACAAGCCAAAAACTCTTCAGCACATTTGGCTCAAATCGAGTGTTCAATGGATTGCGCAAGATGCCATTTCAGGGTGAGCTCTTCTTCAGCGTTCACGTGGATTTTCTTCCCGCGCAACTTGCATGCTCTCCTTGTCGTTACTCCGGATAAATGTCGTGCGTTTGGCGGCAGCTTGGGCCCGCTGGTGAGCAAGGTGAAGGAGTACCAGGTGGAGACGATCGTGGACACGCTGTGCACCAACATGCTGTCCGACAAAGAGCAGCTGCGAGACATCTCCTCCATCGGCCTCAAGACCGTCATCGGCGAGCTGCCGCCCGCGTCCAGCGGTGAAACCGCCGCCGTTGTCGCCGTTGTCGTTGGCAGCATCATCATCGTCGTCGTCATCGTCCTCATCGTGACATCGCATGTGGCGCCCGTCCCCCCCTTGCAGGCTCGGCCCTGGCCGCCAGCGTGTGCAAGAAGATCACGGGTCGACTGACCAGCGCCATCGCCAAGCAGGAGGACGTGTCGGTGCAGCTGGAGGCGCTCGACATCATGGCCGACATGCTGTGCAGGTATGAGTGACGGCCTTTCAAATGCCATCGTAGAAAAAGCGATGACTTTTTTTGTCCTCCGCCTTTTAGAGGTTTGCTCGATTTCTCCCCCTCCCAAAGAAAAGAATTCAACTCGTCTTTGTAGATGAAATGAACGGCTCTGCCTTGTGACGTGTTTCAGACAGGGGGGGCTGCTGGTCAACTTCCATCCCTCCATCCTCAGCTGCCTTCTGCCTCAACTCACCTCGCCCAGGCTGGCCGTCAGGAAGGTAAAGGGAGCGTCTCGTCTCGTCTCGCCGCGCGTGTCGCCGCGGTAACCCTGCCGCCCTCTTCCCCCAGCGGACAATCATGGCGCTGGGACACCTGGTCATGTCCTGCGGCAACCTGGTCTTCATCGACCTCATCGAGCACTTGCTCAGCGAGCTGGGGCGCAACGACAACATGTCCACCACCAGGACGTACATCCAGTGCACCGCCGCCATCAGCAGGCAGGCCGGACACCGCATCGGTCAGCCCGCGCACGCGCAGGACGCGCGCCATCTCGACGCAACCCGACGCTCACTCGAGCCTTTGTGCCCCCGCTCAGGAGAGTACCTGGAGAAGATCATCCCGCTGGTGGTCAAGTTCTGCAACGTGGATGACGACGAGCTGAGAGAGTACTGCATCCAGGCCTTCGAGTCCTTCGTCAGGAGGTCACGCACACATGTACTCGAGAGGACTCGCGACCGACGTAGCACATCGTAGTTACCGTGACCAAAATGTTGACGCTGCAGCAGCGTTACCAAGATACTGTTAAAGTGGTGGTCAGGGCGGGGGGTTGTGTCACCCAAAAGCATGCCAAAAAAAGTTCGTTTGAATTCAAAAAGTCATGACATGTCCTATTTCCTTTCATTTACATTTTTCACTTGTATCGTCGGACAAATTATTTCCATTCATATGCGGATGTACGATAAGCAAACTGATGAATCCATGTGGGAACTTTTTTTGCGGGGTATCCAACCTCTATGAAGCCGTTCAAACGGTGTACTTTGGAATGCGCACATTGACGCGTTGCGGACGCGTGTATTCCTCAGGTGTCCGAAAGAGGTGTACGCCCACGTTCCCACCGTCATCTCCATCTGCCTGCGCTACCTGACCTACGACCCGAACTACAACTTTGACGACGAAGACGAGGACGACAACGCCATGGATGCCGAGCAGAACGACGAAGACTACCAAGGTCTCCCCCCTCCCTCCTCTCCAACGACTTGAAACCGTTGCACTCATTCGTCGCGACTTGTTTTTGAAATTGATTCTGGGGCTGCAAAGAAATATCTTCCAACCTGATTCATTGATGACTTGTGTTCAAAATGTATTTTCATCTTGCCATTTCGAGTTAAGTCCCTCGAAGCGCACGAGCGGCCTTTTGACAGATTCACGCCGACTGTAACCGCAACTTTGGGGCGTGGGGGCTTGCAGGCAGCGACGACGAGTATAGCGACGACGACGACATGAGCTGGAAGGTTCGGCGGGCGGCGGCCAAGTGCCTGGACGCCGTGGTCTCCACGCGGCACGAGATGCTGCCCGAGTTCTATCGCTCCGTGTCCCCCGCGCTGGTCTGCCGCTTCAAGGTGTGTTCTTCCCGCCGCCCGCTTATCTTGCGCTCGGCCAACGTTGCGCACGCACGCACGCTCACCCATCTATGCGCCCTCGCCTCTAGGAGAGAGAGGAGAACGTGAAGGCGGACGTGTTCCACGCCTACCTGTCGCTGCTCAAGCAAACGCGGCCCGCTCAGAGCTGGCTGGCCGACCCCGACGCCATGGAGCAGGGGGACACGCCGCTCACCATGCTGCAGAGTCAGGTGACCGTAGGAGGAAGGGCGGATCGGTTCGGATACTATAGCTACCCGAAGCTGCAAGTCATGACAAACACCTCGTCAAGGCGAGCTTCGGCCTGATGGTGATGTGTTGTGTGCGTGCGTGCGCTGGATGCGAATGCCCGTGCGGCGCCCCTTAGGTAGCCATGATTGTGAAGGCTCTGCACAAGCAGCTGAAGGAGAAGAGCGTGAAGACGCGCCAGTGTTGCTTCAACATGCTGACGGAGCTCGTCAACGTGCTGCCGGGAGCGTTGACGCAGCACATCCCCGTGCTCATACCAGGTAGCGCCGCCGCACGCGCTCGCCGGGGCTTTCCCGGGAGCGGCGCTTCCTCTGACTGCCGGTGCACTCGTCTTATTGACGAGGGGCAATCGCAATCACCTTTGGCCGCGCGTGGCGTGACGAGAGCGCCTGCTTTTCAGGGATCATCTTTTCCCTCAACGACAAGTCGAGCAGCTCCAACTTGAAGATTGACGCGCTGGCGTGCCTCCACGTCGTCATGGTCACGCATCCCGCCCAGGCCTTCCACACCCACGTCCCTGCCCTGGTGCCCCCCGTGGTGGCGTGCGTCGGGGACCCCTTCTACAAGATCACCTCGGAGGCTCTCCTGGTCACGCAGCAGCTCGTCAAGGTGAACGGCGAGCGCCGGCCGGCCTCGGCTTTGACGGCCTCCCGCGTTTCGGCGCCTCACCCGCTCCGCTGCTTCGGGCCTGCAGGTCATCCGACCGCTGGACAGCCAATCGGAAGGCTTGGAAAGCTTTGACCCCTCGCCCTACATCACCGACTTGTTCAGCTGTACAATAAGACGCCTCAAAGCCGCCGACATCGACCAGGAAGTGAAAGAGCGCGCCATTTCTTGCATGGGACAGATCATCTGCAACCTAGGTAACGATGCCGAGTGGTTGTTTGTGCTTCAGCTTCCTGTCGGCTTTTCTCACTCTACCGTCCCCCCCCCCCAGGCGACCGCCTCCCCTCTGAACTGCCCGGAACGCTCTTGATCTTTTTGGAACGTCTGAAGAATGAGATCACACGCCTCACCACGGTTAAAGGTCAGCACCCTCATGACTGGCCACACTTAGGCAAACGAGCGAGCGCGAGGGACATAAATGGGTCATTGGGGGAGAAACTTAACTCAAATGGGGAGTTGGATTTTTAGGGGGCAAAGTGGGAGGTGAAATTGGGATAAGCCAGCGCTTTGGATTACCCGTTGTGTTTGTTTTGGAACCAAAGCTTTGACGCTGATCGCCGGCTCCCCGCTGAAAATCGACTTGCGGCCCGTCCTCCCCGACGCCATCCCCATCCTGGCCTCCTTCCTGCGCAAGAACCAGCGCGCGCTCAAGCTCTGCACGCTCGCCGCACTCGACATCCTGCTCAGGAACTACAGGTACCGCCCCTCCCCAACACTGGTGCCGCTTTGATACCAGGCGAGCCTTTGGCCTCAGCGCAGAATGAGTCACTCAATTTCATTTAATTTTATTTTTTTGAACTGAACAACAGAAGATAGGTTCCCCCCCAAATTTCTCGCCTAGGGAAATTAGTGAGGGGTAAATCGCATATATAAAACGCATATCTGCGTTTGCATGCGTACTTAAAAGCGTACAATTCGGAAACCGATGAGGCGGAAGCGAGCTCATCGCTCGTGCCACGCAACAGGCGGCTGCTTGTAATTGAATCTTTGTCTTATCGTTTGCAACGCTCAGCTCACCGGCAAGCTCTGTAGGAGCCCGCAACGATGGTGATCATTTGAATCCGACGATTTATTAGCGTAGGGAGAGATGGAAAACAGGGAGGAGATGGCTCGTTCCCAAACGGTAAAATGAGCGTCCAGCGGTCATGCGCTTGCCAAAAGCGTTTAGCCCACCGGTTGAGCGCCTGCCCCGCTCAAATCCCGCCCCGCCCGTCTGGAGTCCGGCACGGCGCGCGCTAACCTTGTTGTCGCTGTCTCCGCGGCGGTCAGCTCAGCGGTAACACCGGTGATGGTGGACGCCGTCCTGGCCGAGCTCCCGCCGCTGATCTCGGAGAGCGACATGCACGTGTCGCAGATGGCGCTGAGCTTCCTGTCCACGCTGGCCGTGACGCACCCGTCGCTGCTGGGCCAGCTGAGCGGCGGCAGCATCCTCACGCAGCTCATCGCGCTCGTCAGGTCGCCGCTGCTGCAGGGGGGCGCCCTCGCCGCCATGTTGGACTTCTACCAGGTGCGCCGCGACGCTAGCAAATGTTCAATGTACGTGGAAGCTTGTTTTGCGGGGTTTTGGAATAGGATTTCGAATCATTCTCAAAAGAAATATTGATAGTTGAGCTGTAGTCGATGAACCGTATTGAAACCGATACGTCAGGACACTTGACGTGAACGGTGAGGCTCTCTGGCTCAGGGCGGTCAAGCTCAAGGTGTCAAAGTACTTGGAGCGGCCGCAAGGTTGAACGGACGGCACTTGACGGCTCAAAGCCCGTCTTCCCATCCGTTCCCTTTCTTTGCGTGCGTTCAGGCGCTGGTGTCGACCGACACGGCCGGTCTGGGCTACATGGACCTGCTGCGGATGTTGACGGGCCCGGTTTACTCGCAGAGCGCGGCGCTGCCTCACAAGCAAGCCTACTGCTCCATCGCCAAATGCGTGGCCGCGCTCACCAGGGCGTGTCCGGCCGAGGGGCCCGCCGTGGTGGGCCAGTTCATACAGGTCGGTAACGGCGCCGGCGCGTGGCCGAGGCGCACGCGCCGGCGCGGCTCACGCGTTTGCTCGTGGCCGCCAGGACGTGAAGAACAGCCGCTCCACGGACTCCATTCGGCTGCTGGCGCTGCTCTCCTTGGGCGAGGTCGGCCATCACGTGGACCTGAGCGGCCAACCGGAGCTCAAGACTGTCATCCTGGACGCCTTCTCGTCCTCCAGCGAGGAGGTGACGCCCGCGCCGTCGCCGCTTCTCCAAACGGGCCACGTTGGCTCGGGCCAACGTGGCACCAAGAGCGCAGCCGACATATTTGCGCTCTGAGAAATGCGACGAGACGGTCAACATGTGAACCGTGCTCCTTCGAAGCGCGCCGGCCTGCGCCTCAGTTGTCTTGGGAAATGAACGCTCATTTTCGCACCGCTGAAGAGAACAATCGAATCCTTTGCCGCTTGTGTCGTGGACGCGCCGGCGGCGATGCGACCCATAACCGCCTTTTTTGCCGCTCCGTCTCAGGTGAAGTCGGCGGCCTCGTATGCGCTGGGCAGCATTGCGGTGGGGAACCTTCCGGAATATCTGCCCTTTGTCCTGCAGGAGATTTCCTCGTCCAAGCGGCAGTACTTGCTGCTGCACTCGCTCAAGGAGATCATCAGTGAGTGTCCGCGCCCGCCCGCGTACATTGGCGCGCCCGTGTTGGTTTGCGTATTAACGGCCCCGCGCGCTCAGGTTCGGCATCGGTGTCTGGCTTGAAGCCGTACGTGGAGTCGGTGTGGACGCTGCTGCTCAAGCACTGCGAGTGTCAGGAGGAAGGAACCCGCAACGTGGTGGCCGAGTGCTTGGGGAAACTCACGCTCATCAACCCCGAAACGCTGCTGCCGCGTCTCAAAGGATACCTGCTCTCAGGTGAGAGGGCGTCTGAGCCAGACCGGACGCTCGTGCGACCTTTCGCTGTGGCTGAACGCCGCGCGGGCGCCCGCAGGCTCGTCGTACGCCCGAAGCTCGGTGGTGACGGCCGTCAAGTTCACCATCTCGGACCAGCCGCAGCCCATCGACCCGCTGCTGAAGAACTGCATAGGTACGTCGAGGCGCACGCTGCGCTCCCGCCGCTTGTGACGCGCGCGCGTGTGCCAGGTGACTTCCTGAAGACGCTGGAGGACCCCGACCTGAACGTGCGGCGCGTGGCCTTGGTGACCTTCAACTCGGCGGCGCACAACAAGCCCAGCCTCATCCGGGAGCTGCTGGACTCGGTCCTGCCGCAGCTTTACAACGAGACCAAAGTGCGCAAGGAGCTCATTCGGGAGGTAAACGACACCGGCCACGCGTCTGCCGCTTTAGCCGTCCCATTCTATCGTGCCAGTTTTCTTCCTTTGCGCTTTCAATGTATTTCGTGCGTCTAAAATGGCGTGCAGGTGGAGATGGGCCCGTTCAAACACACGGTGGACGACGGGCTGGACCTGCGCAAGGCGGCCTTCGAGTGCATGTACACGCTGCTGGACAGCTGCCTGGACCGCATCGACATCTTCACCTTCCTCAACCACGTGGAGGATGGCCTCAAGGACCACTACGACATCAAGGTGGCAAGCGCTCTCCGGCTGGCCGTCGCCCGTCGGCGAGCCCGCCTGACGCGCTCTCCCGTCTGTCGCCCTCGCAGATGCTGACCTTCCTCATGCTGGCCCGCCTGTCCTCGCTCTGTCCCAGTGCCGTCCTGCAGCGGTTGGACCGACTGGTCGAGCCTCTCAGGGCCACCTGCACCACCAAGGTGCCGCTCCACACACAGACACATCGACAGTGATCCCTCGCTGCATTTATCGCAGCTTCAGTACATTGTGTTTTGTTTTGTTTTTTTCCCCCCAAAAGTACTGCGCTCAGGGGAAAAAAAACGCCAAATGACTCAGATGTTTGTACGTGCGTGTACACATGATTGGTGCCCGGCGCGGCGTCGACCAATGACGGCACGAGTGGATTTATCCCATGAGCTTATTAGCTGCGTATCTTCACAGCCCCGCCCAGCATCTTCGCTTGTGCCTCGTCACGCTGTTGACACTGATGTCTCGCGTGCCTCTCTCTGGCATACCGCTGTAGTCTTTGTCTCCAATATGGAAAATATAATCGCTGTTCGCATATTTTAAACATGCTGGTACAAACATAAACTGACACAAAAATTCCGAGCAAACCCTCCTTTGCGGTTTTTCACTTGTTTTTCACCCTGTTAACCGCCATAAGTGAAGGGATCACTGGACATGTTGCAATAATGCAGGGTATCTGCAGATGAGGTCAAAGTTCACTGTGGAATCCGAATAAGACACAAGTGTGTGTGTGCGCGCGTGTGTGTCCGCCTTTCAGGTGAAGGCCAACTCCGTGAAGCAGGAGTTTGAGAAGCAGGACGAGCTGAAGCGTTCGGCAATGCGAGCGGTCGTGGCGCTGCTGACCATCCCCGAGGCCGAGAAGTCACCGCTCATGTCCGAGTTCCAGTCACAGATCTCGTCCAATCAGGAGTTGGCGGCCATCTTTGACTCCATCCAGCGGGATTCCGGCTCAGCCAACATGGAGTCCATGGATACCAGCTAGGCCAGCTTGCGCACGCACGGACGGACGCACGATGCCGCATGGCACCCTGCTGCTGGAGCGACAACCCCGCGGCATGTTCCCATGACACACACACACACACACACACACACGTAGTGACACACCCTCCTAGCGATTGGTCGTTCCCATGATGCATTGCACTGAAAAGTCGTGCAAACACACAGACAAAATTTGGCTTTCTCCCCCCTCCCCTTTTCTTTTTTGCCAAGCGGAGAACGGGTATCGACCTGATTGACCGCCATTGTGTTATAAACTGGGCAAGTGGCACTTCCTGCCTGAGGCCTGCTGAGCTGTGGGAGTTTGCTAGCTTTGTGTTTTATTTTTTTTTGTTTGTTTTGTTTTTCCTTATGGGATAGTGGTGGCGGACAGTTGGGTGCCACTGAAGCAGGTTGTTCCCCGTTACGGACCGATCGGCTTCTCCATTTCCTCCCGTTCACCCACAAACTTGTCCTCGACGCCACCTCCTGAAGAAGGAAGGGGGGAAGTAAATGTTGGAGCGTGTTTGCAGACCCGATGGGATGCTTGTGGGCACCACGGTAACATTTGCTGCTGGGTCTATCTGGTGAGAACTGGTCTGCTCTTGCTTATCGCCCAAAAGTATGAAGAAAAAGAAAGGTCCATTTCTGCCTGCCTTCATACTCGCACACATGTCATATTTTTACATGAATAAAAAGCATTATGGGCTGCATGCTGAACCAGTGTTTAGCGTGTCTCCCTCACAGTTGTGAGGATCTTGGTTTGAATCCCAGCCTGGGTATGCGCACGCCTGTGAGTTTTCCGGTTCCCACTCCCACGTTCCAAAAACATTCATGGGTGATGCGGAAGAAGAAATCCACAAGTGCCGGGATTCGAACTGAGAACCTCACTTCAATCACGACGCTGCCCATTTATGAAACATTTCAAAGCTGAAGAGATGCAGGAAGATCAAAGTTGATTTTTGGCACACAAGGAAATAAATAAAAGCATAAGTTACATTTTGTTTTGTTTCCACTTTTTGGTTCAGCAGCAATTCAAAAACAGGAAGTGCGCGTGCGTGCGTGCGTGTGTGTGTGTGTCAGTTAAAGGGAAGTAGCTATTCTTGGTGATTCCTTCCTGTTTGGGTGTGGCTTCGCAACATTGCGTCTGTGTGAATGTCATTCCTTTGCTGTGTGGTGCAATGTTTGATGTGAATATTTGGATGTACGGTGTAAGATTTTCCTGGAAGCAACCATATGCCAACGTTTCACAGCTTACAAATTTTACAGACGGTCTCGTCGACAAGTGGACCGTATTTAGTTGGGACCACATTAACTTCCGGTACGCCACTTGTTTTGAAATGTGAAGCCGGATGTCCGCGTCTGTCTTCCTGTCGTGGACTTGATGTGGGCTGAAGAGGGAGCGGCTGGTGGTCGAGCTACGTTCGCGCGGAACCGGAGAGAGCGCGAGAAGAGCAGCCGACGGCTGGATGACGGTGAGGCTTGCTTTCACTCTTCACCCCCACCCCCCGCCCCTTGTTACTTGTTCGACTTTTTTGTCGTCGGCGTGCCACTTGAGACTCGACGCCCCGCGAGCACTTTTGACAGGCGGCCGGGCCGGGCTGGGCTGGGCTGGGCTCGAGGGGGGGGGGTGCCGGCGTGGATTGGAGGGGGGGCAGGCCGAGGCGCGCTGGGGCCGGTTTGCGGAAGCGAGTCGCTAAAGACAGACGGACAGACAGTCAGGTTGTCGCGGTGTTTGTGCTTTTCTTGACGTGATGGCGGCCCGCCCGTCGGAGCCCCGCTCGCCTGCACACGCTCAGTGGGGCCTGGTGGACAGCTTGCCGGCCAGGGGAGCTCCTTGGGGCGGCCATGAAAAGACAAGAACTTCCGGCGTATTAACGACAACTTCTGTTTGTCTGTCTGTGCGCTAGCTTCGCCCCCTGTGTCTCTCCCTCCCTCTCCCCATCTCTCTCTCTCTCACGCACACACACGTTCACACAAGCACACACACACATGCGTTGTATTATTATTGACAGACCCCACCTAGTTTAGTGTCTGTGGCGTGAGGCGTTCAGGGTCCGACAATTTTACTGCATGCCTGAACATCCTGAGACATTCAGGGACTGTAGAACCAATCCCTTCAATTTCTGATGACTCCCTGTACTTGTGGTATTTCTAAAATATACAAAATTGTGTCATTGTGGGTTGTTTACTGGAGTACAACAGTGGGTCAAACTACCCGGGAAAAATTCTCTGTGTGTTCTTAAGCATACTTGGCCAAAATGGGGTGTATGTACACGCACACACACGTAACGCGTTCAGGACCCCACAAGTTGGCTGTGCGACCTAAACGTGATGGGACTGTCTGACAAATGTCAACACTTAAAGGGGCCAATTGAGTTAAGTCATTGTGTGTATCTTTGTGTTTGTGAACGCGCCATAAAGGCTCCCAACAACTTTTATGCTATGATGCCTTCAGAGACAGTAGGAAAATGTATGCTTTGTTCCTTTCTGTGTGTTTGGGTATGTGAGGCATTCAGGGTCCAACAATCTGTCAGTATGTGGATTTGTAGTTCAATAGAAGCAGCATTAGCATGCTTCAACCTTCCCAAACGTGTCACGGCTTGTTGACTTTGCAATTTTTGTCTTCCTCAACCCGACATCATCATCATCATCATCACCACCACCACTATCCATAAAACCATTTGCTTACATGCACACACACACACACACACACACACACACACACACACACGTCACCATGGCAACCCTCATTGATGCTGTGTATGTGCGTGTGTTTGTGTGTGTTGTCATGTTGCATCTTGTTCCAGCAAACGCAACATTAGGCATGACTGGTATGCACACATGCACAAACACTCACTGACTCACACACATACACTCATAGACATAGAAACACACGCGCACATCCACTCACAGATGCACACAGGCGGACAATCAGACACACGCACATGCATACATGATACGATGTCGACACTTGGATTCCACACTTGTGACATCACCAGTGTGACCATGTGACATGCTTATTAACATTAGTGTGTGTGTGTGTGTGTGTGTGTGTGTGTGTGTGTGTGTGTGTGTGTGTGTGTGTGGCGCGCACAGAGATTAGGTCAAGATGCGTGAATATAAACTGGTGGTTTTAGGATCTGGCGGCGTTGGCAAGTCTGCTTTGGTAAGAAACTTTGTTGTTTTTTGCACACACGCGCACACACATCGAATACGTATCCCAGCACATTTTTTTCATTTCCACACTGTTGCCCTCCTTCCTTGTATCTGATCGTGTGTGTGTGTGTGTGTATGTGTGTGTGTGTGTGTGTGTGTGTGTGTGTATAGACAGTCCAGTTTGTTCAGGGAATCTTTGTAGAGAAGTACGACCCCACAATAGAAGATTCCTACCGCAAGGTAAGACCAGTAAATGCACAACCACAGCACTGGTACATA